TAAGGTATGAAGGACCCAGTTTTGGAGGGGTCACTGGGCTGAGCTGGAGAAATGGAGGATCAGGAACGAGCTAGAAAGGCTTGTAAGGGTCCAGACTAGGATTGCCAGATTTAGCGAATAAAACTACAGAAAGCCTAGTTACATTTGAATTAACGTAGGCAAATGAATAACTTTTTAGTTTATTTCATGCAATATTTGGGACACGCTGATATATATTTTAAAAGTTATTGCTGTTTGTCTGAAATTCAAATGTAACTAAGCGTTCGGTAATTTACCTGGAAATCCTAGCCCGCATGGGGGTGGGTAGGGGACTGGAGGAATGGAGGGGGTGCCGCGACCTGGCCTCGGGACTCAAGCCTGGAAAATAATTAGCCCTTTCACGGGGGGTGGGGTGGGAGAGTGAGGAGAAGGCTGGAGCCATTGCTTTTTGTTCATCTGCCCCGTGGCGCTAAGGATCACCAAGGCCTCTACAGGTTTTATCTGGCGGGAGGGGCCCCCAGCGCCATAAGTTTGGTCTCGTCCCAACCACCCCCTCGTAGTCCTATGGTGTCGTCCTAAAGGCCCATCGATAACTCTACGCTCGGCCTCAGACTATCGACTCATTCCGGCTCTTCTCGCCGTCCTGTGCTGCAGCGGAGCGCCGAGTCGCCCGTAAGGTACCGAGGTCGCGGGACGAGAGCTAGAGTGCAGCTGTGTGATCGGGAGAGCGCGACCGGAGGGAGCTGGCCCAGTGGGATAAAGCCACGACTGTCGGCGGGGCACCGGGGAGCACCAGGATCCAGCCACAGAACGCCCCTTCACATCAGGTCTAGCCGCTGGCCTGCTACGCATGCGCAGCTGTAACACTCGGCTTCCCTTTTGGCCCTTCTGCCTCCTTGCGCACGCGTGGCCAGCCCCTGCGGCAGGGTGACATTCCGGGTGTGACTGCCCCCTGGCGGCGGGTGAGGTGGTGTCTGGGGCGAGTCTGGGGCCCGCTGGAAAGTAGTATACGCCTTGTAGCTGAGGGGGTGTCCCTGAACCTCACCGAGCCTCACTTTCTCCATCTCTAAAATGGCAATAATACCTATCTCTCCAAGTAATCTGTTTAGGACATCGATTTTCAACTGGTGTGCCACAAGAACTTTTAAAACATGCAATGGCTATTTGGTCAGATGCACTGACCTTTTTCCCTTTAGGTTGTCAAATTTAAAGACGAGCCAACACAATAGCCGTCTAATGTGAGTAAATCAAAATTACACCTATGGTTTGTCAGATGAGCAAAAAAAAGTGTTTTTTGGTGTATCACAGACTTTTAGTAATTAGTTTATGTTTGCCACGAGATGAAAAAGGTTGAAGCCCTGGCTGGTGTGGCTCAGTGGGTTGAGTGCCGGCCTGTGAGCTGAAAGGTTACCAGGTTGATTCCCTACTGCACATGCCTGGGTTGTAGCCCAAGTCCCCAGTTGGGAGCATGCTAGAGGCAGCTGGTCAATGTAGCTCTTGCACATCGATGTTTCTCTCCATCTCTTTACCCCTCTTCCCCTCTCTAAAAATAAATAAAATCTTTTAAAAAAAGAAAAACGTTGAAAATCGCTGGTTTAGGACATGAAGAGTATACTCCCTTTTCTGTTTTTCAGATGCTCTGACCTTTAATCCCTGCTGAGTCTTCCAAGAAGCCACAACATGAACACATCCCCAGGCACAGTGGGCAGTGACCCTGTCATCTTGGCCACTGCAGGCTATGACCACACTGTGCGGTTTTGGCAGGCCCACAGCGGGATCTGCACCCGCACGGTGCAGCACCAGGATTCTGTATCCTCTGCTGGGAAGGTGGGCAAGGTGGTGCTGGACAGGATCCCTGGTGGGATAACAGCTTGGACAAAGGCATATCGTTAGGTAGGGAAGATACAGCAGCAGCTGAGCCATATGGTAGTGGCCTTGAGGGCCCCTGACCCCAGGACTCTGCTGGTCATCCTCCTTAATAGACATAGCAGGTGAATGCACTGGAGATCACGCCTGACCGCAGCATGATTGCTGCTGCAGGTACCTGTACCCTCAACCTGATCCCTAACTTCTGATGGGTTTATCTAGGCACAGCCTAACTTCAGTTTGGCCTATGCCCACAGGTTATCAGCACATCCGTATGTATGACCTCAACTCCAATAACCCCAACCCCATCATCAGCTATGACGGGGTCAATAAGAACATCGCGTCTGTGGGCTTCCATGAGGATGGCCGCTGGATGTACACGGGTGGGGAAGACTGCACTGCTCGAATCTGGGACCTCAGGTGTGGGTGCCAGGCAGGAGGGGCCTACTGCCTAGATATGTGGGGATGCTGGATGTGGAGGGGTGAGGGCCAGGCTGGAGAGTGACTTAAGCTGGGTTTCCTCTCAGTAGAGGCTGAGACAGGGTTTCCCATGTGGGTGATTTATTGAGGGCAGTGAGGAAAGCAGGTTAGGGAAGGGACAACACCATACAAAGTATCAAAGAGTAAGTCCTGCCTTGAGGCAAGGTGCTGGCCTTTATGCCCCTTCTCAGTCAGTCATTGGCTTCAGGCTGCTCTTGGTGAGTGCCAAACCTCCCAAGTATTTCCTGTGGGGCAGCTCCTATCAGCAGAGGGCTAAATACCAGGGAAAGGGCATCTGGGTAGGACACCAACAGCATATCCCTACAGGCAGTGTATGTCTCCCACCCCAAAGGTCCCGCAACCTGCAGTGTCAGCGGATCTTCCAGGTGAATGCGCCTATTAACTGTGTGTGCCTGCATCCCAACCAGGTGAGCAGTAGGCATAGGGCTGGACATCCTGGGGCTATGGAGGGCAGGGGTCCTGCCTTATAAGCCTCACCTCCCCCGCACTCCAGGCAGAGCTAATTGTAGGTGACCAGAGCGGCGCTATCCACATCTGGGACTTGAAAACTGACCACAATGAGCAGCTGATCCCTGAGCCTGAGGTCTCCATCACATCTGCCCACATTGACCCAGATGCCAGCTACATGGCAGCAGTCAATAGCACCGTGAGTCCTGGGTGGGTGCAGTGGGGGAGACCAGCTCCCTCATCTCCCTTAATCTCTACAGGTTGGCTTATTCCCCGGATGTCCCCTGGGCCCCTCCCCTTACCCCACAGTCCTACCCCCCTGTCCTGGGCTCCAGCTCCAACCCAGCCACCAAAGTCAAGCCGATATCTGTCATTGCCTGTTGTAGCCCCCTCAGCAGATTCCATTTCCTGAATTTTCCAAGTCTGTCCCTACCACCTGATCATTTCTGGCTCCAAGTTTTCCTTGTCTCCCCTTGTCTCCTCCCCTCAGTGGCTTCCCTCCTTCCTCTCTGATCTCCCCTTACTCCATTCCATTCTCTTTCTGCCACCAGAGCACTTTTTTAGCAGTACCAGCCTTATCCCATTGTTCCCCCTGCATACATAGCATCGTGTGGCTCCTTACCATGGCCTCAAGATGCTGTGGTTTGGCCCCTGATCTCTCTGAACTCATTTTCTCCCTTTAATGTACAATAAATCCCTGGTCTCACCACATCCCCAGACTGCTCTCCTCTGAGCCTTTGTGCTGCTGTTTCCTTTCTGGGATGCTGTTCCCTCCTCCCATCTCATTCTTAACATTTCTGTTGGCCAGCAGCACCCTTCAGGAAGGTTAGACACGGCCTCCTGCTCTCAGCCCCCCAGGTACAGCCCTTGGATGGGGCCAGGCTTCCCTGGTGCTCCCTGCAGGCAGGACCAGATGGTGCCTGCTATATGTCCCCAGCTCCCAGACCCCCCGTGTACAGCCATAGTGTTGGATGGTGGTCCCTGCATCTGAGTCTGCCTGCTGGGGCATCTTTCCCCAGGTGTCAGACTGGGAGCTCTGGTCCTCCCATGACTTTTCTTCTACCCAACAGGGAAACTGCTACGTCTGGAATCTGACGGGGGGCATTGGTGATGAGGTGACCCAGCTCATCCCCAAGACCAAGATTCCAGCACACACCCGCTATGCCCTACAGTGCCGCTTCAGTCCGGACTCCACGTGTGTGGGGGGCCTTGGGGGGCCAAGAACCCTCAGATGGCTTCAGGGAGGAAGGAACCTCCTTGGGGCCTGGGGCTCAATGGGTCAGGGCCTGTTTTGGTGGACAGCAGGGGGTGCAGGTTGGAGTGGCTGCTGATGACCCCTTCCCACCATGCTCATACCCACTTCTAGGCTCCTCGCCACCTGCTCGGCCGACCAGACATGTAAGATTTGGAGGACATCCAATTTCTCCCTGATGACAGAGCTGAGCATCAAGAGCAGCAACCCTGGAGAGTCATCCCGAGGCTGGATGTGGGGCTGCGCCTTCTCAGGGGACTCCCAGTACATTGTCACTGGTGAGCCCCACCTACCCGGCCCTTCCGTCCCACTAGCTCAGCTTCCCTGCTACCTGGAAGCCAGCCTCCAGAGTAGCCCAGCCTGGGGCCAAATTCTGAGTGCTGCTTATGTCCTCCCTCCCTGCAGCTTCCTCTGACAACCTGGCCCGGCTCTGGTGCGTGGAGACGGGAGAGATCAAGAGAGAGTATGGTGGTCACCAGAAAGCTGTGGTCTGCTTGGCCTTCAATGACAGTGTGTTGGGCTAGCCTGTGCCCCTGTGAACTGCAGGCAGCCATCAGGAGACACTGGCTAGATATGACTGTTCAGCTGCCAAGTCAGAGAGAACCCCCACAGGCTAACTTCTACCAGCCTAGGCCAGCTACACCTAACTGACTTTCCCTGATACCCGTGGCCAGCCTAGACTGGCCAGGCTGATCTGCCTGGGGGCTCTTTTAGCCCCTAGTTGCTTATCTGGATGTACAGGGCTCAGGGAGCTGACCCAAGCCAGCATGGCTGCTGCCCACCCCCAAGCCAGTGCTTTTCCCACCTCCCCACCCTTGTTATGTGTGCCAAGGCTGCAGAGAACACAATCATGGCCAGGTGGAGGGGTTTATTAGTCCCCACCAGTGGCTGCCTTCCATGGTACTGATGACAGCCAGCCAGCCGGCTGGCCTATGAAGCTGGGCAGGATGGAGGCTCAGTCTGGGAGGTAATAAAAGCAGACAGACACGCAGATGTTGCTTGGGAAGCAGATATCGATGCATAGGTAGATCAGTCGCTGCCTCTGGGGCCCTGGAGGAAGGGGCTTCCATGAACCCCAAAGGGCTCCTTCCCATCTCCCAGACTACCCATGGGAACCCAGGCCTCTCCCCATATAGCCAACCCGACTCACCCTGTGCTCGATGGGCCCAATAAATGGGGGTCTTGGCGCAAAAGTGTCGCACTGAAGCCCCCACCTGGGCAGGGTCTACCTCACGGCTCCCGAGAACTGCCAGCAGCTCCTGGGCATAGTAGGTGTCCTGGGTGGGGCTGTGAGACCCCTGGGCCTGCAGGGAAGGCTCTACTGGGCCATGGGCCAGGGGCACTTGTACTGCTTTTGGCTGGGCGGGGCTAATGAATCCCTGGACATGCCACTACTGTGCCAGCCCCGCCCTCGGTTGTTGTCAGCAGCCTCGGCAAAGGGAAGATTGAGCTTCTATTCCCCTGAAACCAGAGCCTCAGCCCAACCCGGGCCCAGGCTACACACAGGACCCATTGTCTGGCCCCTGGTCTGGGAAGCCTGGCCATGGGAGTACAGGGGCTGCTCACCCTTGAGGTGTTCACCAGAAGCTGCAGGGTTGTGCGATCTCTGGGTTCCATCGGGTGGAGGAAGCAGGCTTGGTGCTCCGCAGGGCGGTAACAGACACAGCCCTGGGCAGGCAGGCAGGCAGGTAAGACAGGTCCACCTGAACACCTTTGGGCAGCGACCCTCTCTCTCCCCCCGCAAGCCAACTCACACTCTGCCCATCGAACAGTACTGCCCAGCTGCGGTTGCTGTGAGCTGGAGTTACCCTGATGGTCGCCACATTCTGGGCCACGTCCACCTGCGCAGTTTGGTTGGACCGGTACACCCTGGAGCTCGGGTGGGTCACATGGAACATGCGTAGCAGTGGCTGAGTGGGAAGCCAGAGCTCAGCTGGGCAGGCCAAGGCAGCCTTCAACCTTCCTCCTCCAGCTTTGTTTTGAGGCTTCTGCCCTCTCCACCACTCTGTCCTCCCCTCCTCAATTCAGCTGAGCCCTGGCTCCACGGGAGGGCCAGATTTGCTGGTCTATCCTCCACCTTCCCATCTGCACCCCTGCACCTGCCTGGGTCCTGAGGAGGCTCACCTTGGGAGGGCTGTGGGAAAAGCCAAGAAGCCCTCCAGTCACAGCCCCAGCAGTGGCCAATGCCAGCAGCAGCAGCAGGCCCAGGGCCCTCCAGCCCCTGTGGCATGGCCTGGTCTTCACCTGGGGGCACATTGCAGTTAGTGAGGCCTGGACCACACAGCAGGCTGGCTCAGGGAAAGTAGGGGCTGAGGAGGTGTGGGTGATGGGTGCTGCCTTCTTGTCCCCTGTCCAGGGCATGCCCTAGGTCTTTGTCGCAGGACAGGGCACTAGGTGGTGGGAGGCACTCACCCTGACAGGCCCAGGCCCGGGGTCCTCTGCACAGCAGCTTCCCTGCTCCATGATGCAGCCCTGGTGACAATGCAGTGATTGTCTGCAGCCCCTTGGAGTCAGCCAGGGAAACTTCAGGAGCTGCTGATGAGCCAAGCAACCCTCCTGGCCCCCTCCCCTTCTGACCCTCCTGCCTCCTTCCCAGCCCAGCTACCTGAGCCAGGACAGCCCTCCCTCATTCCACTTGGGGAGGAGGATGGTGCTTGTCACTGTGTCAGGCTCTCCTGACAACCTGTGCTAGCCAGACAGCATGAGCGTGGGAGGGTGCAGAGCTTGGCCACTACGGAAATCAAAACCTGCTGAATGTGAGGGAGAGCAGCCCAGACCCGGCAAGGGTAACTTTCTAGTCTGGTTAAGGGCAGATTAATTTTTCCTAAAGAGGCCTGTTTCTAGTCCCCTACATTACCTCCTGTTACCTCGTGCCTAAGGCTGGGCACAAGGTCTGGCACAGCAAACCATTAATAAATGCCTGTTCTATGAGATTGGTATTGGACTCTGCTCTGCCACCATACTTCCCTCCGCATGCACCCCAGCCACTTCCCGGCCCTCTAATACAGTATGGGTTGCCTGGCATCCCACAGAGCACGTGCAAGACCAGGATGGCTTCCAGGAGGCTCTGGGATAGCAAAGGTAGCCTACTTGAACCTCCCTTATGCCCTGGGATGGGTAGGTCAGTCTCGTGTCCACCAGCCCTTGTCCCGTCCAGCATGGTATGCTCTAACTGGACTGTGCTCCTAGCTTGTGTATCTGGGCACTTGACACTGGATTGCGACAAGGCTCCCCTGACCGGGTAGCTTTTGCAACATGGGTGTCATCACCAAGAGGCCTATCCTCCTGTGGTTTTGCTTTGTGCCTCATTTTTCCAGGATCCCTCTTTAATGAGCCTGAGATGGGCTTCGGTTTCTAGCTCTGGAGCTGAAATCCCAGAATGGCCTTCAACTGTCCTCCCACCCGGCACCCATACTAAGGCTAGAGAGCCTCTTATGTGAAGGTTGCTGTCAAGGCGAGAGCAAGGAACACTAGTCAGCATGGGTTTGAGAGTTTAATATGCATTTGGGTTCACACAGTGCAATAAGGGCAGAGATGGGGCGCAGACGAGGAAGGTGTTGCTGGCTGCTGCACCTGCTGTGTGCAACAACGCCCTGACAGGCCTGCTCAATATTAAGACCTACCTTGAGCTAACCTCGCAGAGTCAACATCATCACCACTAACCTCCTAGGCACCGGTTGTGCTGCTGTTTCCCCATGGCAAAGTCCAAACCCCAGACACTCCAGGCCTGAGAGGAGCTAAAGGCCTGGGATACCCTTTATTTCTGAGAACTTGTAGAGAACAAGCAAGAGTGCTGTGACTATGGGGCTAGGAGAAAAGCCACAGGCCGTAGGGCAAGGCACCAGAAAGGAGTTGGCCCAAAGGAACAGCTTCCCAGGCTCTACCCTACAAGTGCAGCTGGAGAGTCTGCTTATCAGGCCTTTTGCCAAAGGTCAGCAACTTAAGGAATAGGCAGAAAAGGCCAGTCCTCCAACTGGCCACTGACAAGACTCCAGGGCCAAGATAGTTGGCCTCATGGATGACTGGTATCTAACCCCCACCCAATCAAGGGTACAGGAGGACAGGAAGAGATTGGATGCTTTGCAGGAACCATTTTCCTGTTCTTGGGGACTTTTTCTTCCCCAGAGGGCAGCCCGGGTAGTAGGTACTCCTTGGCTTGCACAAGACTTTAACCCTGCTTCTGGCTTGGCTGCAGGGTACTGAGACTTCTTCAGTAAGATTTATGCCCTAAGGACAGAGCACAGCTATTAACACAAATAAGATTCAATTCCACCCCTTAATAAAGTTGTTCGAAGGTTTAAAAAAATAATTTTTGGTAACAAAGCTGCTCTGAGCTTCCTAAACAGCAGGCCAAAGTTCAGCAAAGGCATCCATGCCCTTCTGGCCACTCAGCCAATATGCTCAGTCCATGTCATTTGGGTTTAAATGCACATTTGAGAAAGTAGAGCTTTAGCTGGACGAAGTTCATAGAGTTGCACAATCATATATGAAGAGTGCCAGCCCTGGGCATCTGAAACACAACAGACACTCAACTATAAAATCAGAGTGGTTTTTAAGGAAGTGTGGGGTAATGGTGAGGGCTGCACCCAACACCTCAAGGACAGGGAGACACTATGGAGGGGCAGCCCCCTCCTTCACTCCCACCCTGCAGGCAAGGGGCTGCGATACATCAGCAGGTTCCTCTGCTTATGACCACACCATTGGGGCCATGTGTTGGTGTGTACAAATTTCCTGTGACAGTCAAAATAATCAGCCCCTTCTCCCCTTTGCCCTGCAAGGAGGCTTAATCCCTGAATGAAGTTTTCAATAAAATACGTGACACCTCAGTCCTGTCAGCAGGCCCTTAGGTTATCTGAATTGTGGACAGATGTGAAGCCTGCTCTTGCTACCAGCAACCCCCACAATGCCCTCCAAGTTTAAAAGTGCATCTTAAAATTATAAAGGTCTGCAACAAAATCGCCCACCAAACGTTTACTTACAAGGTTAACTAGTGCTTTTGCTTAACTCCATGTATACTCTTTGAAGCCACGTAGCTAATCAAGAGCTTAAGCCCCACCTGTTAATTTGGTTAAGAGGTTTTCAATTTTTTTATTCTGTAGCTTAAAGACGCTAAATCTTTAACCTTGAAGGGCAGGCAAAAGGTCGGCTATGCTGTCAACATAGAAGTCAGGGACCATTTTCCTCTTAGACATGCAGTCACTTTCCTGATTAGTCTTCACATCTTCCAAAGTGGACACTCCGGTGAGGGTCAGGATGGTCTTCAGGCCACAGCTGACACCCAGGAGGATATCTGTGTCCAGGCGATCTCCCACCATGACAGTGCGCTCCGGGTTAATGCCGTACTCCTGGGACACGCAGTCGAAGATGAAACGGCTGGGCTTCCCTATGATGTCGGCCTGGCGCTGGGCGGCCATCTCCACGGCTCTGACCAGACAACCTGTACCTGCGGGGCGGAGAGGGAAGGGGAGGACAGCGCCCGGGGTCAGAGGACCGGAGGGGCCCGCCGCCCGCCCTCCAACCTCCCGCCCCCAGGGCGCACGGACCCGCGATGAAGCGGCCGTTCTCGAGCGGGAGCCGGTTGTCCATGTTGGTGCCCACTAGTAGACAGCCAGGCTGCTGCAGGTAGCGCACGGCTTTGGTGAGCTTCATGTAGCTGAAGTGCGGGTCGAAGCCAACCACGACAGCACGCACGTCGGGCTCCAGGGGCGCGTCCAGCCAGGCGCCCGGGCCGTCGCCCTTCAGGGGATCCGGCCCCACGCCCACGCAGGCGACGCCCACGGCTTCCAGCTCCGCGGCCAGCGCCGCACTGCCCAGCACGTAGGCTTTGGGAGCCGGGGAGCCGGACAGGCGCTGGCGCAGGTAGAGCGCGGTGCAATAGGCCGTGCCGAAGACCTCGCGGTTGGCGCCGGGTCCCGCGGGGCCACCGAAGCCCAGGCGCCGCAGCTTCTCGGCGTAGGCCTCACGGGTCTTGCTGCTGTTGTTGGTGATGAAGCCGAGGCGCTTGCCGCAGGCCCGCAGCGCCGTTAGGGCCTCAGGCGCTCCGGGCACGGCCGTCTCGCCTCGCCACAGCACGCCGTCGCAGTCGAACAGCAGCGTGTCCACGTCGGCCAGCAGCACTTGGGCCCGCTCGGCGCTCAGTCGCACGCAGCGAGAGTCATCGCCGCCGGCCTCCGGCTGTGCCATGGCCGCCCTCTACCGTCACCGCCACCGGCAGTCACCGGCCGCTCCTCACAGACGCCCGCCGCCTTGCTCGCCCCGCCCCCGCCGTGCTCATTCGTCCCCTCCATCTCACACGCACCACCCATTGGGCACTGACTGCGCCAATCCGCCCCAGCCTACCACGGGTTGCGGGAGTTCAGCGCCAACCTTCATGGCCGGGCTCCGGGAAGCTGGTGGCTATTGGCTGAGGGGCCAGAGACGCTCCGATGATTGGCTGTCAGTAAGCCAACCGGCATTCAGAGTGGAGCCTTCACTGCGGAAACGCTGCGAGGTCGCAGAGCCGGCGCACGACGTGAGGGCACTGCTTATTGGACAGCTCAATGGACAGCTCGCTCATTGGAGACGCGTGGTCAGCCTAGGTGACGGAAATCCTTAATCAAGTGACCATAGGCCGGGCAGGCTATTGACTGGTTGGTTTTTCTCTCCTATTGAGGGGCTCGCCGCAGGGATGCTGTAGGGTTGGGGCAGTCTCGCCTTTGGGAGAGTCACTTCCTCATCTTTGGTTGGGCTGTGCCGGACGGTGCCCTCTGCGCTGGCATGGTGTCAGCGCGCGGATAGATTATGGCCAGTCCTGAGAGCTAGCTCGAGGGTCCTTCCAAACAATGTTTGCGTTATTTCCAGTCCTTTGCAAAAATGCTTTCCCTTTGCCTTAGTCGTTTTATGAGTGAGTATAATACGAGGCAGTGGTATTAGGGACTAAGAGAAGGACACTGCCCATAACACAGCACTTAATAATTGGTCTCAACCATCATCGTTATTGTTAGGTTATCTTTTATTGAGCTGTAATGTACAGCAAAGTGCATAAATCTTAAGTGTGTAGCCTGACTATTCCCCTGTTGATCTGTTTTCCAGTTGATGGCCATTCTGGTAGTTTCCACTTTGGTGCTACTGTAAATAATGCCCGTTATGAACATTCTTGTTCCTACACACGTTTTTGTGGACATAGATACTTCTTTGGGTGTATACTTAGGAGTGAATTGCTAGTTCACAGGGCAGGTGTATGTTTCACTTTATTGTAGTACACAGGTAGGAATGAGCAGAGCAGGAACTATGGGCCAGATGCGGAGGGTCACCAGGATGAGAGCCCTGGGTGCCTGGCAATGGCAAAAGTATTCAATATAAGCCCTTGCAGGACCACTACCTTAAGTATTAACCCCTGGAAATGACACCTAGGCCTCAGCTGTGTTTCAGCTCCAGGCCCAGAAAAGCGCAGAAGGAGGCCAAGGCTGATAAAGGACTACTGCAGTGACTAATGACCCCATTTCCTGGCGCTAGCCAATCAGTGCAGACCACAACCCTTAGGAGCCACAACAGGAAAGCTGATAAATATTCTGCTGAGATTCTCCCTGACGCCTCTCTCTATGGAGCACGCCATCCCCTTTCCCCACCCCTTCTTTTCTCCAGGGTTTGCTCTTCTAAAGCACCTCAGCCAGTGCCTCTCCTCCCTCTTTTGTCTTTCCAGGCAGTAGCTCTCGCCCTCTCTCTGCTAAACTCCAAGGGCCTTTCTACTATCTTTGTAGCTTTCTTTAAAAAATTATTTAATTTTTAGAGAGAGGGGAAGGGAGGGAGAGAGGGAGAGAAATATCAACGTGTGGTTGCCTCTCACTTGCCCTCCACAGGCACCCTTCCCGCAACCCAGGCATGTACCCCGACTGGGAATTGAACCAGTGACTCTTTGGTTCTCAGGCCAGTGCTAAATCCACTGAGCCACACCTGCCAGGGCCTCTGTAATTTTCTAAATACCCTTATACTTTGAATTCCTTGGCTCTGAATTCTTCCGAACCAAATTCAAGTACCAAGGCTGCTGAACTGAATTTGGACCTAAGTTGCCTCTTGTGCCTGGTGACGTTTTTCTGCAGATAACATCATTACTGTCAGTAGAACTAGGTGGCGGAACAGTAACAGGCCTTAGTTTCCTGAGAACCTGCTCCAAGTGGTCCAGGCCCCCAAACTTACTGTGTCAAAACCCTGCTCCTCTCTCGGGCCCCAGGTCTCCATAAAGTTTTCTCTGGACCTCCACCTAACCCCCATGCCCGTGAGGTAAAGCCAGTGACCTCAGTTCCTTTAGGGCCCTGTTTCTGTTAGTCTCTGCTAGCCTGGGAACCCCTGAAGGGCAGGGCCATGGTCCACAAAGGCAGTATATGCAAAATGTTCCTGCCTGGTGCTCCCACCACCGAAGAGGGGAGCATCTTCCTCCCTGTGTCTTCCCACTCAGTTTTGGTGGTGGAGCTGACCCTTTGGAAGGACTGGATTTGACAGAAGATCGCAACCCTACTTTAAGCTCCCAGAAACATCCAATGTAGGTGGTAAACTGGCCAGAGGGGGAAACGCTGCTGCTGTCCAGCCATGGGCTGGCTCGTACACTACTTGCCAGGTAGCCTTGGTTTACCGGGCACTCTGTAAGCACCTATGCACTGAGTGCTGCACCTTACCTGCATTACCTTGTTGGAACCACAGGACAGCCCTGAGAGGCAGGAGCTGTTAGTACCCTGATTTATAGATCAGGAAACCGAGCTACAGAGAGTCACCAACTAGACACTGTAGAGTCAGTATTAAACTCAGTTTACCCCAAAGCCAAGCTCTGCCACACTTGTCTGCTTTAACATCCCTTATAGGTTCTAGAGACTGAGCTGGCATAGTGGGAGAGGGAGGACAGTCAGTACTGAGATAGAGTGGACGGTTGTGGACAATATCCTGCGGAAGGCTAGAAGGGCCAGTGCCATTTATTGAAGACTGACGTTAGGTGAGGTGCCCTGACTGACTGAAAAAGGGGCACATCACAATCATAATGTGTTCCCAACACACAGTAGGTGCTCAGTTTTTACATGCTAATGGATGGCGCTGGGTCCCCCTAAACAAGAAGACCATACTGCAAGCAGAGTGGGGCATGGGTGTAGGTGGCATAAGGACAAACACTATTTAATCTCGATAGTATTGCATGGATTTAAATATTTTATTTATTTATATTTTAGAGAGAAAGGGAGGGATAAAGAGGGAGAGAAACATCAATGTGTGGTTGCCTCTCACACAGCCCCTACTAGAAACCTGGCCTGCAACCCAGGCATGTGCCCTGACTGGGAATCGAACCAGTGACCCTTTGGTTCACAGGCCAGTGCTCAAACCACTGAGCCACACCAGCCAGGCCTGGATTTAGAAAATAGAAGTAGCTACTGAATCTGAATTTTCACAGAAATTACCACTTCTAAGGAGCTAAGCCCCCGCCCCACACCAAAAAAAAGAGGTCATTGAAAAAAAGACTCCAGTGGCAAAATAAATAAATAAAATTGTATGCAACCTAAATATTCAATGTGGGACTGGTTAAATAGAAGTACATCCAGGGAATGGAGACTGAACAGCCATCATAAAGGATGATGGTGTTCCCCTCAGGCTCTGGCCACAAAAAGTCAACACAATATTGACTGGAAAACACAGTGTGTAGTAGGAGCCCATGCTGAGGGCAGAGTGAAAAACAGGCCATCTGGGGGAAGCCTAACTCTGGCTTCCCTACCTTTCCATGGCCAGTTTGCCTTCCAGTGGACTCAGGTCTATCCATTCCTGTGTCTGCTGGTCTGCCTGGGCTCCAGCTGAGGCAGGGCCCAGGGCTCACCTGTCAGAATAAACTTTTCTGATCCCCAGGGAGTAACCAGTCAGGAGCTCTGGCCTGCCGCATGACAACTCATTTCCACAGACTTTGGAGCACCTAGCAGGGCTAGCTCTCAGTCTACCTGGCCCAGCTCTTCCTCGAGTCCGCCCACACAGCTGTCCTGACTCTGAAATTCTTCCCCTCACCAGTTGTCTGGGCGGGGGCGTGTTTCAGGCTTCCCCTGCCTCTCCAATGCTGGCTTCCTTATTACTTCTCAGCACATGGTCATGTGAGGTGGTCCTCCTGGTCCTCACTTCCCAGAAGCCTCCTAGATCCCATGTGCTCCACAAGCCACCACCTGCTTCTCCTGTTTGTTCCTCTCAGAAACCATCCATCGTGAACCTTCCTGTGTCTGTTGTGGCCCCAAGGTCCTTTCTGTGCACAGCAGAGGGATTCTTCTGAAATGCTGAATGTCGCCCCCCTCTGCTTAAAACCCTGCAATGGTGAGCAAGATCCTTGCAGAAAGCTACTTCATCGTTACCCTGGCATAGTAGAAAACGTGGAAACAATCCAAATGTAATAAATGAATAAAGTGATATATCCATATAATGGATTATTATTTAGCCATAAAGAAGAGTTGTTATCAGAAAGGGGACTGGGCCCAGACTGGTCTGCCTACAGCTAGCCTGTATTATGTGGATTCATGACTTCACAAGGGCAGGAAAGATTTCACAAGACGAGTCCAGGTGACTATGAGAGTGCTTTTATTGAAGCTGGGGACAGTGAAACAAGGGCCTAGGATGGAAGAAGCAACAGGAGACTAGGCAGGGCTACTTTGGCTCACTGAGAAGTCAGAAAATAAGAGGGTCCTGCGGACAAGTTCAGAGGGTTAGCCCGGGATGAGATGCGACTGCCGTTTGCTCTCCTGGTTGCATGTCTCCTAGATTCTCTGAGTTTAGGAGATGCGTGCCTGTAGGGGCAAGTAGAGGGGAAAGAGGAAGAGGTTCTTCCTCTTGTTGCCCAGAGGAAGAACAAGAGCTAGCTGGGTCTTGGGTTTTAGAGTTTAGAAGCTATTTCAATAAAATATCCATCAGCTTTTCCAGGTGTGCCCTTTTAGGGTTGTGGTTTCCACTGATTAGTCAGCTCCAGGGTAGGGAGTCATTATTTACTGCAGCTGGACCTGGAGTCGCCAGCCTGTTTTTGTTGCTTTTATGGGTCTGGAGCTGAAATACAACTGAGACCTAGACGTTATCTCTAGGGAGGTGACCTTCTGTATCTGGCTGTAAATTGCTTTCAGTTTGTTCAGCTGTTTCCCCATTCCACTTACCAAGGAATTTTCCTAGCTTTTTACTGTCCTGACTCAGGAATGAAGTACTGACACATGCTAAAACCTAGATGAACCTCGAAGACATGCTAAGCAAAAGAACCCAGATGCAAAAGACCACGTGTAATTGTTTATA